TTTCACCATGTTGGCCAGGCTGGTCTGGAACTCCTGACCTCAGGCCAACCACCCACCTCTGCCTCCCAAAGTGCTATGATTACAGGTGTGAGCCACCACGCCCTGCTGAGAAAGTTTACAAATTGCTTTCCATAGAACATTAGTCTTCCTCTTCCCTCCCTCTCTTCCTTTCTTCTTTCCTACCTTCACTCTTTTCCCCATTTTTTCCTTTATTTCCTGAGAATAAGCTTAATTTTAGCTTCCTAAGAGTTTGTAAGAGACCCTCTGGGTGTATCAGTTGAAAATCGATGGGTTCGTTTTTGGAAACAGGACTCACCAGAGATGGGCAACCTGGGAAGATGAGTGTGAGCTGAGCACTGGACATCCAGCAGCAACATAGGCAGGAAGAGTGTGCCACTTTGTGATTCTTTTATTCCTTTCTTTTCTTTCCCTTCTTTTCCTCCTCCCTTCCCTTCTTTCTCCCTCCCTTCCCTCCTTCCCTCCTTTCCCTCTTCCTTCCTTCCCTTCCAGTTCTCTTTTCTCTTTCTTTCTCTCCATGGCCAAACACTTTCTCTTGGGACAGCTAAAACCAGAATGCAGTATCACGTAAAAAAGACTGCATTGACATACTTAAATTCCTAGGACCCTCGGTTCTTTAGGGACGCCTAATGGCTGGTATCATTGCTTATCAAAGTCTTGAACTTGATGGAGCTTGTTGAAAACTAAAGTTTATATTTTTAATTTTTATCTTTCAATTCTGTTTTTCTACACTTTTTTTTTTTTTTTTTTGAGATGGAGTTTCACTCTTTGTTGCCCAGGCTGGAGAGCAGTGGCGCAATCTCGGCTCACTGAACCTCTGCCTCCCGGGTTCAAGTGATTCTCCTGTCTCAGCCTCCCAAGGAGCTGGGGTTACAGGCACCTGCTACCACGCCTGGCTAATTTTTGTATTTTTAGTACAGACGGGGTTTCACCATATTGGCCAAGCTGGTCTCAAACTCCTGACCTCAGGTGATCCACCCGCCTTGGTCTCCCAAAGTGCCAGGATTACAGGTGTGAGTCACTGCGCCTGGCCTTCACAAACTTTTTGAAGTCCTCTCATATAGCGTAGGAGAGATCAGGTTTTTTGAGACTTTAAATATCTTGAAAATGTCATTATTATTCACATTTTATTAGTATTTTGGCTGGGTGTAGAATTACAAGTTGGAAACAATTTTCCTTCAGAAATTGGAAGGCATTGCTTCACTGTCTTCTTGCTTTCTGTGTTTCTGTTGAGATCTATACAACCATTCTAATTCCTGTTTCCTAATTTGTTTTCCTTTTTTTCTGGAAACTTGGAGAGTATTTTTCTCCAGACATAGGGCTCTAATGACAGTATACTCTATTTCCGTCCATTCTCCTGTGTTCTAGTTAGGCTGTTTCAATGTAGCAACTCACACTCTTTAGTTCTGGATATTTTGTCTTGAATAATTTATGATTAGGCCATCCTATTTTCTCCATTGTATCCTTCTGGAACAGTTGTTTTTGGACATCGGACATCCTTCCTCTCCTGTCTTCTCTTTGTGCTCTTCTTTCTGCAAGGTGCCCCAAATTTATCTTCCAAAGTTTATTTAGTTGTTGTTCGTAACTTCTATCATGTTTTTAATTTCTAAAAGCTTATTTTTGCTCTATGAATGTCCTTATTGATAATACCTTGTTCTTGTTTCATGGCTGCAATAGTTACATCTGTCTCTCTGAATACATTGATAGATTTTTTTTTCCTCTCTGCATATGTTCTGTTTCCCTGTGCTGATATTTTTCTGTTTTGTTTGTTTGTTTTGGTCTGCATTTTCCATGTTAACAGGTTTTCCACAAATATCCAGTGATCCTTGGATTGCTCAGGGGAGCTAATAACCTGATTTAAAGTTCTGAATGTGGGGAAGAACTTGTCAACTTTGAACTTTACTGTAGGGTGATCAGGGGAGCCATTTGTTGTAAACATACCTGATGTATCTTTAGGGCTTTCCTCTTGTTAGGGCAGCACTTCGGAGAAAAGTCTCTCAATCTCTGGAGGATAAAGGATCAGTGCTCTGAAAGCTGAGTGGGGAGTATTAGCATTTAGCATTCGGCACTCAGAATAGATGATGTCATCAATTCCACCAAATTTTGAACAGCACCAACACATTCGACTGCATCCAGTGGCATCCATAACTCTAGAAGCCCTCTGTTTTTCTCACTCAAGAAAACACATCACCAGACTTTACACAGGGTAATAATGGTGTAGCATGAGAGAATAATCTGTAAGGATAGAGTTGCTTCTCAAACTGCATTCACACCACTTTGCCTCATAGCACCATTTGAGGTACCTAATTCTATCACTTTCTGAGCCTTCTGAGAAATCCAGGATATATATCTGAATTGTTCACAACTCTCTCCCAGGACTGACCTAGGATTCAGTTTTCTTGGGTCTGTTAACTCAGAACTCAATTATCTCAATATTCAGTTATCCATCTGCTTTCCAGCTTCACAATTTTGATGGTTTTGTCTTCTGTTCTTGGAGATAGATTTAAAACTCCCTTTGACTCTATTATTAATGGGATTTTAGGGAGGACAGAAATGATACGCTATGTCACCCTAGAAAGCATTCAATAAATCTGATTCTTTACCCAATGACTCTCAATCTTATATACAGTTTGCTAATCTGTGGATGTTTTGCTTTTACCTTTTACCAACAGCGAATGTTGCTCAACAGCAATTGTTGCTGCCTGATCGTTCCTCTGGAAGCTTCCTCTCAGAGGGGTACCCAGCCATGTGAGGTGTCAGTCTGCCCCTACTGGGGGGTGCCTCCGGGTTAGGCTACTCGGGGGTCAGGGACCCACTTGAGGAGGCAGTCTGTCCATTCTCAGATCTCAAACTCCATGCTGGGAGAACCACTACTGTCTTCAAAGCTGTCAGACAGGGACATTTAAATCTGCAGAGGTTTCTGCTGCCTTGTTTTGGCTATGTCCTGTCCCTAGATGTGGAGTCTACAGAGGCAGGCAGGACTCTTTAAGTTGTGGTGGGCTCCACCCAGTTTGACCTTCCTGGCCACTTTGTTTACCTACTCAAGCCTCAGCAATGGCAGGCACCCCTCCCCCAGCCTTGCTGCCACCTTGAAGTTAGATCTTAGACTGCTGTGCTAGCAATGAGGGAGGCCCCGTGGACGTGGGACCATCTGGGTCAGGCATGGGATATAATCTGGTGTGCTGTTTGCTAAGACCCTTGGAAAAGTGCAGTGTTAGGGTGGGAGTGACCCTGTTTTCCAGGTGCTGTGTGTCACGGTTTCCCTGGCTAGGAAAGGGAATTCCCTTACCCCTTGCTTTTCCTGATTGCCTCGCCCTGCTTCGGCTCTCACTGGGTGGGCTGTACCCACTGTCCTGCACCCACTGTCCAACATGCCCCAGTACCTCAGTTGGAAATGCAGAAATCACCTGTCTTCTGTGTCGCCCATGCTGGGAGCTGTAGCCTGGAGCTGTTCCTATTCAGCCATCTTGGAACCATCCTCGGAAATATATTTCCATGCTGATATCTGAAAAGAAAAGTTGTTCTTTTTATTTTAAATCTTGCAAAATGATATGCTTTCCTGGGGATTCATTCCCATTATGTGGATTTGGGGATATATCTATGGGCAATCTTTCTTTCTCTTTCAACAAGCTATTAAGTTCAGTTTCCATTTAGTTAGAGAATTCCATTATCCCCCTACCACTTTTGCTATCATTTCGATTCAAAATCCCAGTCAGGCTCCAATATTTTCCTCGTCCCTTCCACTACTTGATCCTATCAGCCATTAGTAAATGGAGATCCTACCCTAATCACGATTCCATGCACACTTTTCCATTCTAACTTTCAGACCCTTCTCTCTCAATTGTTTCCTCCTCTGTTAATCCACCCTTTACAATAACCTATCCTATATGATACCCCAACTTTGTGTCCATTGAAACACCAAGAACGTACGTGGAAGGTAGTCAATGAACTTATGTCAAAGAGAATCCTCTAACATGTTCTATCCCCAGTGTGACTTGGCATACTCCTGGAGGTCTGTTATTCATTGGTGGCAGTATCCAGGGTCTTGAACAAGACCAATGCAGCCAACGGTGCTGCAAAATGATTTTCTTTTTTTAATTGAGGGCAATCACAGTGTCAGGCATGATTCAAGACCTTTACATACATTAACTCATTTAGTTCTCAGAACAACTCCACAAGAAAGGTACTGTTATCATTCTTATTTTACAAATAAAGAAGCTGGGATACATAGAGGTTAAGTCCCCTGCTCACAGTTACCCTACTACATGTGAGGCCGGGTTCAAACCAGGCAGGCTGGCCTCAGAGCTCATAACCATGGACATTATACTGCCTCTTACTTATATTGTCCATCATCATCATGTATGTGTGTCTATGTGTGTATGTTGGTGGTGGTAGGGGTGTTGGCAGACACTCTTTGCAAAGCCTACCTTATTTAACTAGTTAATTCTTTGACCATCCATTCAACAATTAGGATGATTAAAGTATCAAGCACTGCACACAACAGAAGGGAGGTGGTAGCAGACAAAGTGGCTAAGGGCAGGGGGCATCTGTCTATGTAATAAGTATAAGGGCAACAAGGATGTTGACAAATTTTAAAAAGGTACTATAGGAGTGAGGGCAGGTAGCCTCAGCCTACTGAGGTGCATGGGAATGTGGGGGTAGAAAGAAAGGGGTGAGAATCAGGGAAAAGGTCTAACTCCTCAGAGGACATGAGGATGGCCAGAGTACTGACATTCTTCTACAAAAGCCTCACTATTCCTGGCTGTCCTGCCCCAGGCTGGTCTACCTGTTGCCCCATTGGCCAGGATGACTTGTCTGTGCCACAGCACTGAACACCAGGCGTGTATTCTTCTCTCCCAAAACTCGGCTCACCATGGCCAGAAAAGGCAAGTGTTTTAGAGGTATGGTTTCAGGCAGACACATCCTAGAATTAAAATTACTTCAGGGATATCTGCAGTAAAGTTGAAGGAAACAGTCAAAAGGCCAAAGGAAGCAAGCTTTATTGAATTTACAATGTAGAAAACATTTGTAGTTCCTTAGACATTTGCATTGCTATAAAAATTACACTTTATTTTTATAATTATTAATGGTTTGAAGAGAAATAAACAGTATAAACGAAATATGGCCCACACAATGAAAATGTAAACCATATAAATCAAAATCATAAAACAATTATTCAATACTCAGAGGCCTACTTAATATATACATATGAAATTTCTTACACACACATACAATAAAAGCCCACAAAAACCATCACTCTGAAGCCGATCACTGTACAAATATGAAAATAAATCTTTATCTTTAACCTCAATTTTATCTTCAGCAGGAGGGCTGTGCAACTTGGGTTTATGCAAATCACATGAAGTATTAAATAATCAAATGTCACATATGTCATATAAAGCAGCAAGCGAAAAAAATAAATTATGAAAATGCATGGGCTAAAAGTTAACAGTGAAAAATATCTCCTTATCCAACATTATTTTCCATAATAAAATTAAAATATTTTACAATGTATCAGGATACATTTTTAAAAAGACTATAGTGTAACTGTGATTTTAAAAGCTCTTAAAGAAAAACAGGGACAAGGTGAATAACTTCGACAGTAATATGCAAATGTATTAAGTCTAAGATAAAAACATTAAATATTTTTGTTCTTACTGAAAATGTGCTTTAAATTTGAGAACACCTTCATGAAATCAAAACGCTGGTAATAATCAGGATCTCCCAGCACTGCAGCATACATTAAGAAGCTTCTCTTGAAACATGATTGCTAACCAGAGCTCAAAATCTCTAATTTGGATGATGTTACCAAAATATTTATCAGGGCTCAAATAGTTAAAGACGATTGGTTGATGATCAAAGGCACTGGTGTAATCTCATCAACGTCGGGTACGTTGACGGGACAATCCAGAGACAAAGACTATGAAAATACTTCTGCATTACAGGTATACTCTTTTACAGATTGTAAAACAAATAAAAAGAGACACTTTGGAGAGAATAAATAAAGGCAACACAGTAACAAATAAACTAACACAGTTTTGTGCAACTGCACCAAAACCTAAACATGTGTCCCATATATCAGCATCTGTATCAGATCCAATCTCATCAATCTCATCAAAAGATGTCACTAAGACAAACAGCCATGGTAAAACTTTTGCTTCGTCGTCCCACATAAATAATACCCCCTTTATTTTGAAAAATTTCCCATACACAAGACATTCTTTCTGATTAGAAATGTAATCTTTTCTTTTTCTGGAACCAGGAAACAGGAATGCATGGCAGAGTTGCTGAGGATAGGTCCAACTTTCCAGCAAAAATATCAGATGTCTTCAATAGGGAGAAGGTATGTTTACAAAAGTTAAATGATGTTGTAGCTGTTTATAATCTTTGCCTGTAACATATCTGGTCAATTCCCGTTTTTTAAAAAACTGACGCTTGCGGAATATAAGGTTCTATCACAAACATCGTGAACAGAAAAAGTATTGCTACATGGAATTGTTTTGATTCAACAAAAAGAAATGTCTTTAGCTTATATAATACAATAAATAACAGCTATTTTTTTTTAAGTGCCTTCAGGAAGCGACTTGGGGCCTGGACCTAGATGAAGCAAGGTAAATTAGAATTCTGTGTTGTAGCCCCACCCTAGGCTCAGCTGTTGACTCCTTTGGCTCTTAGAGACATCTCAGTGGGGACGTCTGGGAAGCAATGCAGATTCTGGAAGGAGAGTAGGCCCAACCAGGTCATTGGTGATGATGAGGGACTAGTCACATTAAACAAAGGATCCTGACTCACCTTTCCTAATGGCAATTCCTCTTTTAAAGACATTATTTCAAAACCATACATAGTATTTCTTTCATTGATTATTACTTAAGGAAGTTAATGTTAGCAACTAGGGAGTTAGGGGACTTGGATTACATTACAGGTTACGCTTCTAAACCATGGGAAGGTTTGAAATCAGCAGGGATATTTTCATTTTGCAACATGTTAAATCACTCTAAGTACTAGTATTTTTTTTAGTGAGATAATTCACAACCATAAAATTCACCCTTTCAAAGTATACCATTCAGTGGTTCCTAGTATATTCAGTTATGCAACTATTACCCCTATTTGAATTCCAGAACATTCTCATCATCCCTCAAAGAAACCACATACCCTGTCCTCCCTTTCTCAGCCCCTGGCAACCACTCCCTTAAGTGAAGAGTAACAACTTTCCTGGGCATTGTGCTTTCAGCAGTATATGGCTTTACATGTTTTCATTACGATTTTTAACACCAAATTTAAACAATGGGCTTTGCAACTATTCTGAGATTATGAAATATCCTCTTTTATATACAACTATTTTTGTCTCAAGCATGTTTCTTTATACATAAAAAATAGATGTTTCCATTTTTTTTTCTCAATTAAATTCTGTCCTTATTTCAGAAGTGAGAAAAATCAATACTCCAATATTTAAAAAGCAGGAATAACCACAGTTCTTATTATTAGCTGTGGGCCGCCACACTCTCCTTCCTACTGCTTCCTACGGAATCTGAGATGCCAAGGGCTGCAAGGCCTTTGAGGGCAAGCTGTGCATTTTACAGATGAAGAAACAGATCCGACATGGGCTTGTGACCTGTCCAAGATCACAAGGCCAGTTAACAGCAAACCTAGGATGAGAACCCCTTTTTACTAGAACTTTAATATCAAATATTTAAATGCTGACTTCGTGGGTAACCTAATTCAGCTACCACATGAATCTAATTATGTCAGTTTCCTCTACAGCTTTGATGTGAGCATGTGATTTCTTTTTTTTTTTTTTTTTTACCATTTTAGAAAACATTTACATGTTATCTTTTAAGACCTGTAAGGACATGACTAGTCTATTTAACCAGAGGGCCCAAACCACTCACTGAGACAAAACAAAGAGCCAAAGTTCCAGAGGGACCTGAGAGCAGGGTTCGGGTTTCCTGCACTGTAACTCTCCATATGACAGTGTCAGTAGGATATGCCACTCTGTCAACAGCCAAATAAGTCACACAAATTCAGTATTCTGGAAATGAAGACTTCACAGGTCAAGGATGTTTGGGACTTAGCCATTGCAACAATTCTTCATCTGTGGTGACTTTTTGGAATTGGTCCCGGTGAGATTGGTAATGGATTTGCTGTCATCCTTGTCAGTTCTCTTTTTCACTTCTCTGAGAGAGAGAGAGAGAGAGAGAGAGAGAGAGAGAGAGAGAGAGAGAGAGGATTACTGAGGTATAAAAACTAAGCCACAGATGGTTCTGTAGAAATAAAAATAGCCATGCTGAGTGTCTGCATGGCCTTCTAGACATTGTTTTAAATGCTTTATAGGTGTTGCTTAATCTTCATAAGAACCATATAAATTTGCTGTGCCCCATTTTGTATGTGAGGAAATGAGGGCAAACAGAGGTTAAGACAGTTCCCTTAGGTCACATGACTACAGAAGTGGGATTCAAACCACACGGGCTGGCTCCAGCACCTGTTTTCTGAGCGCCAGGCCACACACACACACACACACACACACACACACACCCTCCTCCCCTCACTGTCTCCAAGGTTTCAGGATGCTGCAGAACCTGCGATACACACAGCTTGCTCCTTAATACTCTGGAACCTGGTTTCCAGCTTCATGTAATGCTTGCTGAGCTTAACAAAAGCAATGGTGATCATGGAGGTAACAATGGATTTATCACCATCCTTTTCTGTCATTGTAAGTTTCTTCCAGTATTAACTGCTAGAGGCAAGACTCACAAAAAAAGGTCTTACTCTCCAAGATGTTATGAAAACCCCCTAGGGAAGTATCCTTCCAGGTGTAGCCACTGGGGATGCTTGTGAAATATGAAGACCAGAAGTCTCACCTTAGACAAACTGAATGGCTATCTCTGTGGGCGAGATGAGTGCCTCCCCAAGATGGCCCCAAATAATTCTGCCCTTCCTTGTCAGTGCCTGATGCCTCTCCCATCAAGAGGTGAAGGTTTGCCTCCCTACCCTCTTGGTCAGAGCGGGTTCTCTACCTGCTTTGACCAATAGAATATGGAGGAAATGGTATTCTGTGACTTCTAAGCCCAAGTGTTTATAATGTGGGGCTGCATCAACCGCTACCCCTTTTGAAGTCTAGGGTTCAAGAAGTCCAGGGTTCCTCAATGGAGAGAGGCCACCAGAGTGGCCCTGGGGACTGAGATGCCACATGGAGTGAAGCCACAAGGAGAAGCACCCTGGTGGCTGACATCCAGCCCGAGCCACAGCCCTGGTGGCCATCTGACTGCAAACACAGGAGATACCCACACGAGAGCAGTCGAGAAACTTTCTGGCTGAGATCCAGCCACCTTTGCCAATTGTGAGAAATAAAATTTGGTTGTTGTTTTGGGCAACTACATTTTGGGATGGTTTAAGATGAAGCACTTAACTGAAACTACCAGGAGTCTGTGTGTCTCCAGCAGAGCCACAGTGCTCGACAGAAATACAATGGGATCCATACATGTCAGTTTGAATTACTTAGTAGCCAGATTTTTAAAAGGTAAAAAGAAATAGGTAAAATTAATTTTATTAATATATTTTATTTAACCCAGTATAGCAAAAATATAGTCATTCCGGCATGTGGTCAATAAAAACACGATTAATGAGATAATGTGTCGAAGGTCTTCAAAATCCAGTCTATATTGATTGCATACAGCACATCTGAATTGGATTAGCCACATTGGGAGTGGCTAGTGGCTACCAAACTGGCCAGCATAGCTGCAGAAGGTGCCGATAAATCCTACCTTTTGAAAACCACTACACTGTCAGTTGGAAAGAGGACATCTCAGCAGGGAAAAAAATAAGCTCATTCTAGCTGTAGGCCAGCTGGTAAATGCAATATACATGTTTTTCATATTTGATATATACCCCAAACACACACACCCGACAAGAGATGGGTGAGCAGTACTATCCGCACCTCACAAATGAGGCAACAGAGACTCAGGAGAAGAAAGAGGAGACACAGTTCAAACCCAAACACCCGGGAAGACTCATTTCAGCCTGCTGACCTCCAAAATTGTCAGATAATAAATTTGCATTATTTAAGCCTCTACATCTGTGGGAGTTTGTTACAAGGATGACAGAAAATTAACACAACTTCCAAATGCAAAATCTCGGTCATTCTGTCATTGAATAAATGCCCAACTTATGCCAGGCTCTGGGACCTTCAGCGAGTGAGCGTTGAGGGAGAGTCAGATGTCTAAATAAATAATCTCATGGTCCTGAGACAGCAGCTACCACAGATGCACTCTGTGCCCACAGATGTGTTGTGGGCTTCACAGAGATGGGGCTTCATAGAGACTTTTGATATTGGAGAGACCTTTTGAAAGAACAGAAAAGGAGACTCCAGGTGCAGGGAACGGCATGCAGAAAGGCAGAGGCATAAAAGAGCTTGGCCATGATTGGATGAAGTTTGCTGTGTCTACAGATTATCATTCATTTGGGAAAAAGAGATAGAAATTCAACCAGAAAGGTAGCTGAGGTCAGGGCATTTGCTTTCACGCTCTGATAAAAACACCGGAAACTGGGAACGAAAAGAGGTTTAATTCTACTTAAGAGTTCCACATGGCTGGGGAGGCCTCAGCATCATGGAGGGAAGCAAAAGACACTTCTTACATGGCGGCAGCAAGAGAAAAATGAGGGAGAAGCAAAAGTGGAAACCCCGGAAAATCCCATCAGATCTCGTGAGACTTACTCACTATCAAAAGAACAGCAGAGGAAAGACCAGCCCCCATGATTCAATTACCTCCCCCCGGGGTCCTTCCCACAACACATGGGAATTCTGAGAGATACAATTCAAGTTGAGATTTGGGTGGGGACACAGTCAAACCATATCAGGCTGTGATGGGCTATCAGCCACATGCTAAGGAGCTGGGACTCTGTGTTGTTGGTAGGACACCAATGTGGGGTTGGATGCAAGAAAGTAAATATTAACTGGATCTTTAGATTACCTGATTACACAGTAGAGAATGAACTGATATTAGAGAAACTCTGAGGCAGAAATTCTTGCACTAGCCCAGGTAGGGAATTTTGAGGCCTGAACCAAAGCAGAAAAAGGGAGAAAGCGAGAAAAACGCATGGATTCAAAGAGACTGAAAGATGACCTTCAGAAGCCACTGGAGGCAAGGCGTGAAGCAAGAGAGAAAAGGAATCAAGACTGACTCCAGGTGACTATTGTTTAATTACAATTTTGGTAGATTCCTGAGAAAGGGAATGCAGATTGACGAACACGTTTAAAGCCACATGAACACACTAGGATTTGGATATGCAGAGTCACCATGGCTATGGAGCTTCCAGTGGGGAGTTCACTCTAGGCTTATGGAATTTTAAAGAGGTGGGGGGTTAAAAAATACAAAAACTGGAAGTTACCAGGTAGAGATGGTTCCAGAAGCTGTGTGGATGGAAGATATAGGCAGACAGAGAGCGAAAAGAAAGAGACAACAGCCGGAGACCATGAGATTACCAACATTTAAGCAGCAAGCCAGTGATCCAGGTTGGTGGTGAAGAGTCCTCACGCTGCCACTTACTAGCTGTGTCACTGAGCAAGCTGATTAAGTATTCTAATTTCCAATTTCCTCATCTGTAAAATGGGTACAATAACCATAGCATCTTCACTGAACAATTCACATCTCTCTCTTCCTGTAGATCCAATGGCCTCTATCAGCTACGTACCATATAGCTGCCTGGTCATATATCGTCATTTTTTTTTCTGTAATGTTAAATTGCAAGGCCAGTCTTTTAATCCCTTGATGTCTCTACTGAACACAGCATGGGACTATGCACATGCTCAGTGCCCATAATGCAGACATTATTGAACCTGAAAGCAAATATTAAGGGGGAAAGTATATACCCACACTTTCATCTGGCCTTCAGCCAAAAATGCAGGCATGCTCCACTTTAAGGAAATTGTAAAGATACAATTCCAAACATCTAAAACAGATTTAAGGCTGGGAAAATTAGGGTTCACCAAAATCTGCCATACGCTTAACGACTGCAGTTTAAATGGCTCAGTCTTATGGACAGATTTATACCCAATGGGCTCAGCTCTGATGCTGAACGGATACATCAGCCTAAGTTTTTTTGTGTTTTCTCCAATTTCAGGCAACTGATAATTAAATGGCTCTTCAACTTGAATCTATTGCAAAATGTTTACAGCCTGTGGTTCTGCTGATGGCAAATTTACTTGCTAATGGGACAATGGTCATGAACGACGGCCTATCAGCACTACACGGAAACTGCGTTTCTAGGAGAAACTCTTCCTGGGATTGAGAGATTTTCCAAGAAAATGCAGAGTAGTTCAGGTTGTTAACCAAATATTTATGGCATCCCTTTAAAAATAAATTGTTTCAGACAGTGCAAACCCATACCTTCTCCTAGTTGTATGCCATTATATGATCTCACCCTATGAAATCTAAATTGAGAACATACATGTTTTGCATTATACATAAATTTCCCAAGGTTGTAAAATTTGAACAAATGATAATTTTACCTGTGGAGACTATAACATTTCCATTTAAAGGTTGGGTAATTTGATAAGCAAATCTGAAGGCTAAGTATAAAGCAACTGAAGTCTTCATATGTTTGCTTTATTTATGATTTTTATATTTAACACATCACTAACATCACTAGAAGCCCAAAGCCAGGCCATAATGCAATAACAATAAAACAAAAACCTCTATGCGAAATGATTTTCAAGAAGCTTATCTGATTTCTTTACTTGTCTAAAGCTTTTTAAAATAAATATAACCTATCCATTATGCAGCTGAAATAACCTAGTTATCAAAATGCTTTTGCATACCAGTTGTTTTAAGTAAACACACACAAGCTAGTGTCCAAGCTTCACTGTAAGCAGGGCCAACACCTGGCTGACCCAACATGCCTCATAGGAGCAGATGGGGAAAAAGTCAAAGGAAACTTACAGCCTCTCCCATCTTTATGACATAATAAAGAGATCGATTCTTCCCCAGGGCACTTTGGAACCATTTAACTTTAATATGACCCCATAAGACAACTGAGCATTAAACAGTGATTAAGATATTCAGTGGAGTACAGGCTGTCACATATAGAGTCTATAGACTGTTAGAGTCACAGACTATTAGAATTAGAAAGGACCTTTGAGGTCATTTTCTTCGGCCCCCTCCCTCATTTTACAAATTAGAGTTGCCAAAAGAAAGACAGGGACTTGTTCAAGACCTCATAGCTATTTAGAAATAGATTTAAGAATGAACTTGGAGCCTCGTGACACCATAATCCTCCAATATGCTGGGGAGCAGCCAGTAACCACATGCAAGGCTTGACCCGTTGCATCCATTACTGCTGCATGGGAGCAGCAATGCAGTGCTCCGCTGACCAAGGCTAAGGCATCCCAGGGATGCTCCAAAGACCTGCAGATCCTTCCCTGCTGCCATCTGCCCCAGCACCTAGATCACTTCCATCCAGCAGTTCTCAGCAACATATGAATGAAACACCAACACAACCATTTGAAAAGTAAAAACCTGACAATTCAACAGTTATTTGATGTTTAGTGAAGTCAAATTCTGCATTTTACTGAACACTCCCCTCTTTACTGAATGTAGCTTGTTTGGCCAAACAGCTGGTGTTCCCTGTGTACCCACAAGTGCGTGGAATCTGTTATTCAACCCGATAGATAAAAGTTGTACTCTGACTCTTTTTTCACGAATGTGATATTAGCCCATGATTCTCCTACTATTCACAGCCAAAAACAAACGAACAAACAAAAAAACCCAAGAAACCCCATCTAATTTAGTTGAATGTATGAGTGTTCAAATATTTGCTTTTTTTTTCTTTTAAAAGATGAAATGGTTTGGAGGTTTGTCCCCTCCAAATCTCCTGTGGAAATCTGACCTTCAGTGTTAGAGGTGGGGCCTCATGGGAGGTATTGAATCAAGCTGGTGGATCTCTCATGAATGGCATAGCTCCATCCCTTGTGATGAGTGAGTTCTCGCTCTGAGTTCACAGGAGATCTGGTTGTTTAAAAGAGTGTAGCCCCTCCCCACTCCTCGCTCCATCGTCATGTGACACGCTGGCTCCCCTTCACCTTCCACCCTGAGATCTCACCAGAAGCCAAGCGGATGCCAGCACTAAGCTTCCTGTAAAGACTGCAGAACCCATGAGCCAATTAAACCTATTTTCTTTATAAACTGCAGTCTTGGGTATTCCTTTACAGAGATGCACAAAACAGCCTACTGCAAAAGGAAAAAATGTGCTAGGGCACATTCAAGGTTAGCACTGTTTTTGCTTGAAACAAAAATGATTTCCAGTGTTGTAGGGGGAGGTGGCTATCTTTTCTGGACTGATGTCAAAGAGGGAAATATTCAAAGACTCTGAGTGTGAATACAGGGCATCTGCCAAGCCTGCCACAAACTAATGCCAAGCAGGACACCCAAAGTCCATATCCTGATTCTCTTAAGTGAGGGCAATAGTTTATCACGTGGCCCTAGTCCAAACATTCTATTAATAGAACTCTATTTTATTAAGCACTATAAATGCCAAGTCATTAATGTGTATATGTGTGTATGTTTGTGTGCATACATATATATGTGTGTGTGTGTGCACGTGTGTGTGTGTGTGTGTGTGTGTGTATATATATATATATATATATTTTTTTTTAATAGAGACAAGGTCTCACTATGTTGCCCAGGTTAGTTTCAAACTCCTGGGTTCAAGTGATCCTCCTGCCTTGCCTCTCATAAAAATGATAAAAATAATCACTCAGGAATTAAGTGTCCATCAAGAATCTGTTTCCTCTTGGCCAGCAACTAGCACGTCCTCCTTCCCGCTAACTTTTCCTTCCTGGATCCAGCAGCCTCCATATTGCTGAAACCAATGGGATCTGCTGGAATTACAGGTATGGGCCATGCGCCTGGCCCTAAGTCATTAATTGAAAAACAGCATTAAAGATATTGCAAAGTATTTTAACTATCAATGTTCACCAGCAGAAGAGGCCAATTATCATACTAAAATTGAGATTCTTATAAAACCTTACAAATAATCAGAAAAAGAATGACATGCCTAAAGTTATATTTTAACTTTGTCTGCAATTAAAGATGATTGCTCTGAATTTTGTAATGTACATTTTGATTTTTTTCCTTTTTTGATATTTAATCCCTTTAGGCCAGTAAATAATAATCTTTTCATTTATGGCAGAAAACTAGGTAGAAGGGAAAAATCTAATGTATAATGTTATTTCCTAAGAATTACTTCAAGGATTAAACCACATACATTTATATCCAAGTTCTTTAATGATGCCATTTTCGTTCTATTGTACTTCCCAAATGTTATTTATTATTAACACTATTGCTTTAGCTTAATAATTACCTAGGTAATAATTCTGACAAAGTGTTTCTAACTGGCATGACATACAATTTGCTTTGTTTTTTCCCCCCTTTTGCCCGGGGAAATATCATAATTGACAGTTGTATTCATAATAGTCCCTTGTGTATAAAATCTGGTTCCTGGAAATGATTCATACAAGTCAACTATTAACTTTGTGGTGACATTTTTCAGAAATGTCAACGACACCTCAGATGCACCTCTTTTGTTTGGCAGTAAAGATATTTTGCCAGTGTTCACAGCAACGTTGCCAGTTTTTATAATATCCACATATTTATTTCTCCCACCATGACTGAAAGATAAGAGAGTGTTTTCCCGCATATATTCCATCTGCACATTCTGGACAAGAAATGTGACATATGCAACAGGCGAAAATTCAGTCCTACATCCATTTTCCCAAACGTTACCGAGCAAGGTGCAGAACAGCTTCCACTATGTTAGAACCATCTTTGGCACTTGTTTCACAGAATAATGCCCCGTACGTCTGTAGAAAAGAAATATACACAATTAAATGAAGCCCTTCATTGAGTTTCCTGAAATTTTAGCTTTTAAAATCAGTAACATAAAAATATGTTCCTACTGAGCATGCTAAGAGTAACTAATAGCTAAGAAACTGAATTCAGAGTTCCCGTACTTACAAAGAAAATGATTTAAGCATAGTTACTCCAGGAACAGTTCCTAGTTGGAGGATTTTTACTTTACATTTAAAAAATAGAACATTTCATGTTTTAAGGTTTTTCTTTCCAACAGTCAAAACACATGCTACCAAATGTTCTTTATCAAATATTCCGAGACAGATAAAAATGAGTTCAAGATAACCACTCAGGATTTAAATGTCCATCAAGAGTCTGTTTTCTCTTGGCCAGCAGCTAACACACCCTCCTTCCCGCTAACTTTTCCTTTCTGGCTCCAGCAGCCGCCATGTTTGCTGAAACCAAAGGACACGCTCTAGTCTTCTATTATGCAACCTCCCAGCCATAGTGCATATGGTATCATGTCACTCTCCTGCTTCAAATCTTTCAATGCCTCCTGTTCCTCTTTAGATAATGTACAAATGCTTTTCCATGGCCAATGAGGCCCAGCTTCACGTGGCCCCAGGCAAGCTCCGAGCTTCACCTTTCACCTCACTCATCCCCCCTCACTCACAGAGCTGCAGTTTTCTCTGCCTTCCTCCAATTCTCCAGTGTCCGCAAAGCCTTCGCACCTCAGAACCTTTGCACCTGCTCTTCCCATCACCTAGGTTCCCTCCACCCTCCACCAGTCTGACACCTACCTACTTTTGGGATTTTTAGGTAATGCTGAAGTTAAGATTCAGTCGTTCCTAACCTGAAAAGTCTGTATTAGGACTTCCCATCGTAAACTTTCCGAGCACTCTCTGATCCTCCTGCACAGCAACTGCCACAATTATAATTGCTCAAGTTATTTTTGTGTATCTTTGTCTGACCAGCTGAAGACGTTTTCTCTTAATAAAGGAGAACTAAGTGTTGTGGGCCTGGGTGTGGGTTAAACAGTCCTGTGTGGGACAAGGGAAGGAGATGATACTTGCTCTAGAACAGAGAGAATGAGAAAAGCCAGGAAATGGGGAAAAATGCCACAATGGGAACTTTACCCATGAGCCCACAAATCCATACAAAATCTGCAAACACCACAAAGCAAATGCATTTCCGGTAGAAACCGTCAGTGCTGGTGTTGACCTCTACATCCAGGGCGATATGGGCTGAAACAGAGACTGCCTTTGAGGATGCGGGACTGTGGAGGTCACAAGATGCATAAAGAAGCAAACTTTGGGAAATCGTGGAGAGGAAATAACGCTGGCAGGCAGCCAAGAAGAACTAGATCTCAAAGTGGCTGTGTGGGACCGTGTCTAGCATGTGGATTTCATGAGCTTAACATCTGTCTCCCTCAGATAGTAAACAATACGAGGGCGAGGACTGTTTGCTCTGTTCTCTGCTCTTGGCCCAGCACATAATGAAGTGGTTTTTTACATGGTGGATACCAATAAACATGGATTGAATGAATCTCTTCTGCATTTCATTGCCTAGTTTTGACATTTATCACATTTGGTGTGCAGTTCTAAATTTTAAAACAAGAACGATTATTCCCGCCTAAAATATTAAACTGAAACTTCCTTTTGAAGTTCACATACATATGCTACAGAGTAGTTCTTTCCTGGTGCTGACGACAGACAACACTATCAACATCAAATCAGACTGCTGCAATATGAATTTATTTGCCCCAAAGTGCATCTAAGTACTTGTATGGGTAAGACAGGTCAGAAGACAGCCAGGTAGCATTCTGACATGATGACAGATGACACTGATGGGAGAATAAACACTGCCCATGACAACAATCTGAATAGGAATGAGTTTATTCCTGTATACAAATGCATACCCCAAAATGCGTATGCATTTGTATATGGTAATGATTTTTCATATCAACTAGACACAAATCTTAGAGAAGAAGTCTTCCAATTCCCTTCCACACAGGTGAGACACTGTACCATCTTCTACCTTTGGCATTATAACCCTCTGAAACCGAAGCCATCTTTTCAAAACAGGACACCATTTTCTTCCTTTACTTGGATTCCAGGACTAGAGAAGGTTTCTAGGAACTAGGTGAGAGGGAGGAGGAAGATGATGGGATTATGTAGGCTCCTTTTTGTCAATGATACTCAATGGGAGAAAATGATTATGCGATTGTTTTACTTTCCCAAGGGACTTAATCCTTGGCATAAAAGAGGTGGGAGTCATGGCAGTTCTGCCTGTGGTAAGGACAGACGCCTCGGATGGGGGAGGTTTGTCAAAGGACCTCTCAAGCAAAGGTAGACAAAAGTGAAAGGTCACTGACTTCAAAGTCATCACACCCCTATGTTCTCTTCCAACTCTGAGGCTTCCTCACTCTTACCATGGCCAGTTTCTCTCCAAAGTGCCCTGGGACACATTTTTGTCCCCCTGCAGCAGCAGTGTCACGAACGTCAGCCTTGTTTCCTACCAACATGATGGGAACAGTCTCATGGGCTGCATCCTACCAGGAAGAAAGAAAAATGGGGCACACATCAAACACTGGACACATTACGCTGACCACAGAACAACGGCAACAGCAATTACCATTTTCCCTTTGCCCTCTTTGTGCCAAATCCTATATAGAGGATATCTTTAAACCCCAACGCATCTCTAAAAACAGTCATACCTTTTCCCATTTATAGAAGAGAAAACTGAAATTCAGAGACATTAAATAAGAAGGTATAAGGGTCAGGGCCTGGGTCCAAACTAATTCCATAACCCTGGCCTCTATACAATGCCCCATCCTTAGGTTAATGAAAAGGCTAAACGGCACCGGGATTAATCAGTTTTACGGCAAAGGAAACACATATCTGTTAATTTCTTATCTCTAGCACACAGAGCACAACAAGTCAATATAAACTCAAAAGGCATGACCATAGAATCATATTTGGCTGTGGTGCCCACATAATTTTCTACAATTGTTACTTCAAACACTAGTGATCACAAGTCAAGTTCATTATTACAGTTATAAAACACACAGTAATTCTTCAGCTATAATGAAACAAAAAGGCAGTATGGAAGTTCCACACTCACTGCTCTCTGGTTTACAACAAAAGCAAAATATAAAACTCCTGAAGGTCAACATTTTTCTAAGAGTCAAGGACCAATATTTCAAAGTAATGGTTTCTAAGATAAGGCTCCCATGTCAGCCTATGCAATGGTCACAGGGTCCCAGAGTCACAGTGGAACTCATGGAATGTGAGATGAGTGTGGCAGAGTCAAGTCTGAGACCCACCCCTCCACCAGTTGGACCCACTGGCTGTGTGAGATCAGGCAAGTCTCCGCAGGTTTCCGCTGCAGTCTCCCTGTCTGTAAAATGAAGGACTGAATGAGGGCATACCCCACCTCAGCAGGCGATGATGAGAATACAAGAAGACAACCTGACTAGCACAGAAACACAAGTTTCTGGTTCCTAAATAAGAGAAGTGGCAGCCCTGAGGAAAACATGTGGAAATTACTCTTTGCAGTGACTAAAGATACCTGCGTACTCATTGGGTTTGGGGCTATTCCTGATGCAGGATCAAAAAACGTGCCGCAACATGAAATTGTAATTGACTTCCTTTCTCTTCAGGCAACTTTCCTTGGACAGAAGGCTCCAGAGTGTAATAAAATCAAAGGAAAGACGGGAATGAATAGCCTTCTCCAAAATTAGCTGTTTCACTCATTCATGTGCTAGTTAATTGTCTTCTTTAATGATCTCAGGATGCAAGGGGCATCACTTGAAAGTTATTAGTCAAATATTCATTTCAGTAAGCCCAAGAATCCAGGCATCTAAATGACGCCTCAAAGCCACAGAGGTAAAGGGCACCTCCTTCAAGTCTCAACTTAAATATCTCCTTCGCAGTGAGGCTGCCTTGATGAAAACAGCAGCCCACTTCCCCATCGTCAGGCCTTTCAACCCGCTCTCATTTTGTTTCTATAACATTATCACCTTCTAGCATATCATTTCATTTACTGATCTATGTTTGCTGCTTTTCATCTGTCTCCCCTACTAGAACACAAGCTCCATAAGGATAGGGCTCTGTTTTCTTAACAGATATATTCCGAGAACCTAGACTGCTACATAGGAACCGGGTAGATAGTCAAAAAATATTTTTGAATGTGTTAAAGTTGGGAAGAGATCTTACATCTCAAGTATCTCCATTCAGCTTTTACCCAAATATTCAATCAATAAAATATTCATGCCAGATAAATAAATGGCTATAATTTTACTTTATCCATAATTCTATTACAAGATTTTTTAACTCAGCAGTTTTCCATCGAAGTGTATCAATTATTAATTAAGAGGGTCTGTTCACCGCTGACAGTCTACTGCTTCTCAATCCTCTGGTCTATCCAGGTGATCACACCACTCATTTCTACCCATATTTACAGTAGCCATATAAACTGTCCCTGCAGGATTTCCTCAAATTAGAAAGAGTAAGCCATGGAGAAACCTCACTGTGCCCACTCTTTTTCTAAGGTGAAAGTCAAACGCCATTAGTAGTATCTAATTTTTCATCCAGAACAAATTTAAGAATTCATCTCTTCTACAGTTTTCTTCCTTTTCAGACCCTATGAAAAGATGATACCAGTGGCAGAAAAGATATCTTAGCTCGTGAAGGTGCTTTGCAAATTATGGCAGTGCGCCACTTGACATAAGGGTTATTTCGCTGTGGCTGCTCTAGGCTTTTGTGCCTCCTTTTCTTCGGCATAACCCAAAGATTTTAAATAAAGACTAATCCAAAAATGTCAACAATAAAACAATTTTGCTGTGGATTTTAAACACTAATATGGATGAGTTAGGGTTATCTGTTATTCTCTGGACTTCCTGCTCTATCCCAGGGATCTCCATTTGTTCATCTGCGTAGCCTCCACTCCTCTATGCTCTAATTACACCTTAGGATTCCTTTATATTTGAGATGGGGGTCTCGCTCTGTCACTCAGGCTGGAGTACAGTGCACAATCATGGCTCACTGCAGCCTCGACCTCCCAGGGCTCATATGATCCTCCCACCTCAGCCTCCCAAGTAGCTGGGACTAGAGGTCCATACTAACATACCCAGGTAATATTTGTATTTTTTGCACAGATGGGGTCTCACTATGTTGCCCAGGCTGGTCTTGAACTCCTGGGCTCAAACCATCTGCCTGCCTTGACTACCCAAAGTGCTGGAATTACAGGCCTTGGGATTCCTTCTTGATGTCAGAGGCTTCTTCAAGTAATCTTCTGCTCACGCTGGTGCTTTATCAAAACGACAACCACTGTTGAATCAGGAGGTTTGGTGTGAGCCCCTATTCTATTCCTAACCACTAAATAAGTAAGTGCTACCTATGCTTTCTATGCTTCAACTTTCTCACAAAATATTAGGATAATGTTTTTTATTTCATTTCTCAGATGCTAGAGAGATGACTATAACACGGGAAATTCTGTGAAGTAAAAATGTTACATAAATGTAAACACTCTTTCACTGTGTTGACAATCATTTTAAGTCATGATAAGTTGGTAGAACACAGTGCATATTTATTTATCACTGTTAAAGTCTTACTGCCAATTGCAATCAGTCATTTCTCACATTACTTCTTTAGTTAGAAAGTGAACAATAATGCCAGAAGCTAAATTGAGATCAGACAGCAACCAGTCCTCTGTGCAGCCACTACTGCAATTTAACGCCTGCTTAAATTATAGATAATATACTTACTTGAAAAGTTGTATTAGCCACTACTTTTATTTTTCAAGACAGCATGCTGAACCATAGCTTGAACTGTAGTGTTATGTTAATAACTGCTGGCAGCATGCTAAATGGGGTCAACGTCATTTCCTACTTTTCAAAATTATTTACCATGAAAACAGAGGACAGGAACATTCCTCAGGTGAAAGACATCATCTTATTTAACCACAGAAAGCACAGAAGCTACGCTCATATTTAAAATACCAGTTGGTATTTCGGTAGTACCCTGAGACATCTAAAGATCCCAAATCGCTACCAGAATAAGGTTGAGAAGAGAAGAGAGCTCCCATACAAATTGAACCTTGACACACACTCATATCCAGGTGGTGTTTCACCTGTACTTCCCATGCCCGTGGACGCCCCTACATGCCCTCAACTACACTACACACCCAACCACACCATCTCCTTGTTTGTAATAGCTTCTTCCTAGGCTATCTGGAGTTTTACTTGCTTACAATGGGATTCTGATTTTATCTATAAGAAAACCTAGAAGTTTTATTCCCCAAAACTTCCTTCATTAGTGTCCTTGGCTTCAGGGAAACGTGCCCACATCCTGAGGAAGAGATGAATGCGGCCAGTTCTGCCTGTAGCATCCAATTCCTCCTGATGGCTTAGATCAACGGTTCCTAATCAAGTTCATTCCGACAAAGAAGAGCAACAGCATTTTCCAAGATGGCCTAAAACTTCCTCGTGTAATTTCCTGTTTCTCCATTGTGATTTCTTACCTCGATCATATCTACCCATTCTCGTATATTAAGAAAGCTTTTCTCACATGTAACATCATACAGCAGCAAAACACCATCTGCCTTTCTGAAGTAAGACTTGGCAATACTTCTGAATCTGAGAAAGAGAAAACCGCATAATCAGTCAGTTTGTGTTGCCTCATTCCTCTTCTCTTTTATGCTCATTTTTTCTCATCTTCTAAAATCAACCCCAAATTGAGAAGACTCTCACTGCAATATACGACTGAGAAATAGCCATTCCAAAGGTCTCAAATGACCCAATGAAAGGTAACAGGATGAGAGTCTGGGTGACCAACTTAGAAAATCTAATCCTTCTCCCTACCAAACAACCCCAAAAATGTCTACAATCCCCAGAGCATAACCAGGGCAAGGTTGAGAGCACAGTTTCCAAAAATTTCAACCTCAGCAACAAGCTACCAGAAGCCACATGTGGGACAGAGGAGGCTGGAAGGAGGTACAAACTAGAGAATACTTATTTTTGGTGGTGGTGGTCAGGGAGTGTTGTGGGTGGGTGAGTGGAGGAACTACCAGTGTGGAATGCCGTAACATACCAGGACTTTACATACATGGGGGTCAGGGGATTTGCCGTGGGAAGAGCACACCTCAACACACATGCCCTAACTCGAAACCCAGTGCAGTATTTCATAAGTACTTTAAAAATACAGTCATGTCAACCACAAATATTTTTTTAAATGTTGAAATTCCCAGTCTACTAGAGAATATGAGTGCCATGGAGGCGGGCATTCGTGCCTGTCTGTTCACCACTGAATCTTAGCACGCTGAATAATGCCTGGCACAGAGGCAGGCATCCCATACTTATGGGTTGAACAACTGAACGATTTTGTTTCCAAGGAGTTAGACAAGATTAAAATCGGTGCTGAATGCTCTGCTTATCGGTGAGGAATGCAAGGTAAGTTGCCATCACCAGATGCGAGTCCGCTATCTGGTTTGTGCCTCTGCCCTTAATCAAGGGGAGCTGACTGGTTCTCTTCTCCATCATTTATTGTTCTCCAGCCAGGGAGCTCCTCAGGCTGTCACTGCACTCAAAAGTGGTGCCTCCCTTGTTAGCAAAGGACACTCTGTCTCAACTGAACATCGGCTCAAAAGAAGCTTAAAGATCCTCTTCTCACAGCAGTCATAGGTAAATGAAGGAGGAGAAGATGTGCGAAAAGATAAGCATTTTACAGTTATAATACACTGTATAATTATACATGTAATTATGCATATAATTATAAAGTATGTTATAATTATAGAATTTTGAGTATGAAGAACATCAAGTGGCCTGCAAGGCTTGTTAGTGCAAACCCAGGAGAGCCCAAAGCGCTGCGGAAAGCACTTGCCTTTCCTGACCAGCTGTGTCCCAGAGCTGCAGAACTGTCCGTTCTCCATCCACAATGAGGGTTTTCATTTGGAAATCAACTCCTGAAAAGGAACATGAGAGTGGAGAGCATGATGTAAATAATTCCATTGGCTTTTTACTTTCAAGCCCTCTTTAGATGAGGCAAAAGCCAATAAGCCACAGCTCAGCCAGGGAGGGAAGAATGAACATGACCTTTAAGGAGAGTGACCTTCAAATAGGAATGGCAAGTCAGACCACACGTGTGTGCAGAGGCACCATCTGCAGGTTGGCTGACTTGGGGAATGATTTAATTTATGAGCCAAGGGAAAAAAATCTATGTTTTATTTTCCCTGATGACTGGATGAACTCAGTCATATTTGTGTGTGTGTGTGGGCGTGTGTACATGTGTGTATGAGTGGGCATGCGTGAATGTGCAGGTGTATACATGTATGTATATGTGTAGGTGCAGATACATGTTTTGTGTATATGCATATATGTGTATATGTAGGTATATGTGTATAAATGTATGTATATCTAAACATGTATACACATGTGTGTGTGTAGACACACGTTAGAGCACACACACACTTACATGCATCATAGTCTCTGACAACTGAACCAAATACTGTATGTAGTCTTTCTATGAATCAAATTGAAGTAAACTTTCAGCTTTGTTATCCTGAAGAGTGTATCAGAGAACCATAAATTTAAAAAGACACCCATTGTGAAGAGGTTCTAACATTTCGGGTGATCAAATAAGAATTCTTTAGACGAAGAAGAAAAATAAATGACAATTTGCATATCTTCAGCTCCTTTTACTGATTATTATGCACATTTGGGAAATCAGGATACTACTTGTTCTACTGTTCTGTTGTGAAGGTGGGGAATGGAGCATATGTCTGGCTATGGTTTTGACCATAATGACAAAGTGGCAATCCATATTTTCACTCTGTCAACATCAAATGATACCTTAGCAGAAAGGGTTTTCCTGGCCACTCTGTGTAAAACTGCACCGCGGCTCACTAAAACCGTCTTTTTTGTACCCGTTTCCCTCCTTTGGGGTATGTGCGTGTGTAAGTGCTAGTGCAGCGTGTGTGTTGTATTGTCAATCTCTTGCGGGTCCCTCTATATTGTTGTATCTCTCTGTCTCTTTATCATAATTCTCTGTTTTCTATATATGTTGTGTATCACTTTAACCTATCAAATCTTGTTTTGTGTTTGGATCAGGGTTCCTTGGTCCGATAAAGATGAATCTGATATCTCAGGCTCTAAATTTGATTTGATTCATCTGATTGGCTAAGCAGATAGCTTTTTTTTTTTTTTTTTTTTTTTTTTTTTTGTGGCAGGGTCTCACTCTGTCACCCAGGCTGAAGTGCAGTGGTGCGATCTTGGTCACTGCAACCTCCGCCTCCCAGGTTCAAGCGACTCTCCAGCCTCAGCCTCGCCGAGTTGCTGGGACAACCAGCACCCACCACCACGCCTGGCTAATTTTTGTATTTTTGGTAGAGATGGGCTTTCGCCATGTTGGCCAGGCTGGTCTTGAACTCCTGACCTCAAGTGATCCGCCTGGCTCGCCTCCCAAAAGTGCCGAGGCATGAGCCACCGCACCCAGCCAGATATCTCTGTCCTTTTAGTCTCCTTTCCTAAAAGCAGGCCTTGACCAAAACAAGAAGAGCGCCCGAGGA